CCACAAGTAAACCCTCCTGCTTTAAACCTAGAAAGGATTTGGAGGGTTAAAGCAGAGCAAGTCAGCTCTTACTTTCCCTCCCCTTCCAAACATAAAATCACAAATACATACCTTTCTGCTTGCCCCGTAGGGCATTAGCAACCCAGAATAGAATGGAGGAGGGAGGGCAGCCAGGGCTGGGAGAAGCTTCAGTCTGCCCTGTGCTTTCATCCACCCACTGTACTCACAACCACTACAGCCTCTTCCCCACAGCTCACCTTCCCTGCCCTCCATTCTCCTCCACTGCAGTGGGAGGAGCGAGGGACAGTAGACACAGGCACTGCTTTGGAGAAATCAGCATATTTTTAGGTTGGGACAAGGAGGAAGTGGAACAGATGCTTTGTCTAGGGGGTTTCCACTGAGAAATAAAGGGGACTAGGAGATGCTGTGCCTACAACAGAAGGAACATATTGACCAGAGAGGGCTTCTAACCAAGAACAGATGACATGTCAAGGGGCCTTCCAAGGACTAAACAGATGTTTGGTCTACGATAAGGGGTCTCCAAGGACTGACCAAACAGAAAGAGGTAGAAAGGCCACAAAGTGGAAATATGGTCAAGGTCACAAATGAGGGTGTTTTGACATTTGTACAAGTAAGGTGATAGTATCCTCAAGTGACCTACCCTCATTAACATAATAAAAATCATACCCACCTGCACCATGACAGTTTACAAATACCATGGCAACCCTCAGATATTGCCCTAAAAGGTTAAAAATGAGGAGGGTTCCCAGTTCTAGGAATTCTCCACCCTTTCCCCAAAAACACCCATGAAAGTTCCAGCCCCCAACATAAAATTAAGAAATCAACATAAAAGGGAAAATCGTGTTAAACTCAGGGTCTCTTCTACTCTCGTAGTGGGTTGAGCCATTACTTCCTTGGAATGTGCTCTGCTTTCATAGACTTTGGTACTTTGCTTGCATCTGCTTAGTCTGCTCATTGCTCTGACCGGTAACCATTGTTCAGTTCGGTACTGGGAACCAAAAACCAGGAAACACGGCCCTGACGTCTGGTACCCACACCAGACAATATTAGGGGAGAAGACAAAGAATCTGGTAAACAAAACATGCTGGACTCCTCTCTCTCCTCCCCCAGCATTTACTAATGAAATTTTCTCCCGTTTGGGTGTTCTACTGCAGCTGGGGTTCTCCCACACCCATGTCCATACCATCCCTGACCCTTGCCACCATTTCAAGGGGAAAATCTCCCTTCCCCCCTGAAGTTTCACTGAAAATCACTGATAAGAGCCAGATTAATAGGAAAAAATGTATACAGATTTATTTGATCATAGTTTTATGTGGCAAGGGAGCCTTCAGAATGAAGATGCAAACATGCAGGGGAATTGTCCACTTTTATGATTAGGGTCAACAAAATATGGACAGTGTGTAGCAGTATGATCAGACAAAAAGGGAATGATCTAATGCTAGCAGAGGGAGCAGGGAAACCCTGCAAGGCCTGTCTAGATTCTTCTTGGTCTCTCTGAGCAGCATTCCTTCTTCCTTCCAGTGTCGGGCAAGGCCCTCTCTGGAATAGGGGTCATATAAGGTAAGTAGGTAGGTAATATAATTTCCTTATGGCTAGTTTTTTTCAAAGAAAGGCAGGGGTAGAGGAAAAATTAGAGTAATATTTTAGGTTTTAAGGCTGTGTTTGAGGAAAGAGGTTCTAGTTTCTGTGGCCTGCCTTGGGGAAGAGGAGTTCTAGTTTCTATGGCTAGCCTTGGGGAAAATGACAGGAGACGGGAGGGCAGAAAGTCAGAGAAAAACTTGCTAATGAGGCTGCTTCTGAGGCCTTCATTTTGTGGCATTGTTTTCTGATTCCCAACACCACCCACTTTTCCCCAAAACTCAACAGAAGTTATCAGGGGCAGCCTGGCTCTGGGTAAGGTCTCTTGAGGCTGGTCTTTCAAACATGACACTGAGTTATTTTAAGGTGTGTCAATGGAAAAGAAGCCAAACTCTGTAAAATAATTTAAAGAGGTTTATTCTGAGCCAAATTTGAGGACCATGGCCCAGAGCCACAGCCAAGAAGCCTTGAGCAAGTGGACTCCCTTGCTTGTGCTTGTTGGGTCACAGTTTAGTTTTACACATTTCAGGGAGACAGGGGTTACACGTAAAGTCATAAATCAATACACAGAAGAACACTGGTTTGGCCTAAAAAGGTGGAACATCTTAAATGGGGGGAGCTTACAGGTTATAGATGCATTTAAAGATTCTTTGATTTGTAATTGGGGAAAGAAATGAATGAAGCTTTGTCTAAAGGCTTGGAATATTTTAAGGTAAGATAAGGAAGTCTGGCTAATCAGATACCAGCCACCAACCATGAACCCAGACTCAAGTACTTTGTTATGTAAATTGAGGACCAGCAGGTAAGATACAAAGGATGTCTACAAGAAGGGAGGGGGCATGATGGGGCATGTCTGGCCTCATTTATCATGGCCAGCAACTCAGTGTTAGGGTATCCCCTTGGCCAAGAGGGTTCCACTCGGTCAGCTAAGGGGAGCTTAAGGTACTATTTTAGTTCCCAGCTGCATACTAATCACCCAGGAGCTTTAAGAAATATTGTTGCCTGGGGCCCATCCCAGAGATTCAAATTTAGGGAGCCTTCTGTGTATCAGAAGTTTTTTAAACATCCGCAGGTGCTTCTACTATGCATCCAAATTGAGAACCATCAGCTTTACAGAAAGGACATTTTCTTGCATTCTTCCCGCATTTTCTTGCATTTTTTCTGCATTTTCTTTGCATTATGGATTCTCAATTAGTTTATCAAACAAATAAAAAGGAAACCTACAAATGCTTGTCAAAGCCTGCTGAAGCTTCCAGCCCAAAGCCCACAGAGACTAATGACTTTAATTTGTAGGGACTTTCAGAGCCTTGCTTCTCAAAGGGTGACCCACGGAACAGATCACTTGGAGCATGTTAGAAATGCAGAAACACAGGCTCCACCCCAGACTGCTGGCGCACTGAGCTGCAAATAACTGACTTTCAGCAAAGGATTTTGTCCACCCCTGACACTGAGACACTTGGAAAAAACAATAGCACAATTTCTAGCAGCCCTAGGTGTGTCTCTGGGACAACCTGGCCCCCCTTGAGTTCCCACCAGGGGAAGCAGGAACTTCTTGTCAGGTTAGAGTCCTGACATAGGCTTCTAACCTCCCTTTTTTCTTAAAGCATTTACTTTATACAATTTAAAATTGTAAATCCTTATTCTGTCCCTTTGAGGTGTATGTGTATCTTCTAAAACCCAGGAATGTCTTTCTCTAAGACCTGAGAGCCATCCCTGTGATATGTAATTATCAGGAAAGATAAGGCAGACTCCCAGTCTCTGTGGGAAGACTAGAATCCTAACTTTGATACACTTGCCAGTTATCACACTGACCAACTCCCTTACCAACTTTTTGTAATTTTCCACTTCCCTGATTCTATTCGAGCCACCCTCTCCTTCCCCATCCTTACTCTCCATTCTTCCTTTAAAATCCCAGTTACCTCTGCACTGATTGGAGTTGAGCTCAGTACTACACTGAGAACTCTCCCCTACTGCAGTAGTTACCGAATAAAATCTGTCTTTAATGCCTTTAACTAGTAAACAAGATTCTTAGGTGATATGCATGTACATTCAAATTTGAGAAGCAATGTCTTATAATATTTATCATTTCCTCCATGACTCTGAATAAACAGCCCTGAATGATGGGAAGGAATTATGCCAATGGAACAGAGGGCCAGACTTTTGCTTAAGGTCACAAGTTAAACTCGATGTTGAACCCACCTCATGACTCAGTCTAGTGCTTTTTCCATAATGCTATGCTAATCAGAGAGAGACCACACTGCACAGAGCGCCCAGGAGAGAAAAGTTGGTGAGATCACAATAAGGTTTCTATTGATGCATCCATCGGTGCAATGTCCTCTCAGGTTCTACTTTTTGTTAGCTTTTTTAGAGACAGGGTCTTACTCTGTTGCCCAGACTCCAGTGCAGTGGTGCAATCAGCTCATTCGAGCCCCCAACTCCTGGGCTCAAGCAATCCTCCTGTCTCAGCCTCCCAAGGAGCTGGGACTACAGCCATATGCTACCAAGCCTGGCTAATTTTAAAATCTTCTGTAGAGATGTGGCGTCTCACTCTGTTACCCTCGCTGGTCTGGAATCCCTGGGCTCAAATAATCCTCCTGCCTCAGCCTCCCAAAGTGCTAAGATTATGGGTGTGAGCCACTACACCCAGCCCTACCCACTGTTTAGTTGCAAAATAACTGTTTCAGAATCATTGAGTGTCTTTTGGGTACTAAAGAATCTCATCTGAGTTATCCCATCAGTAGTTGGAGTCCCAGTGATCACAGCTTCCGGGGGATGAGTCATTGTACAAGTACTGAAGGGTGTAGCCTCAAAGACAGCAGAAGCCCAGCCCTCCATGGGCCTGTGCACACCCCACACAGCCACCACATGAAGTCAGACCCAGGCACTTAGTTCTGAACCACTCGCTTCTACCACTCTGTGTACTCAGTCCCAACGCTCTCCTACTTGCCCAGCTTTACTTCCAACCTCAGTCTCCACTCCTGCTTTCCTGGATAAACTGACGCCCTCATCCCGCTGGGCTGGTCCCCTGGGTAAGCACTCTTCTCTCTGTTCCCACCTCTGCCTTTCTACTGCTGGGCCTATTTGGTGTCTTGAGTGGACTCCCTGGGGCAGAGCTCTCATGGCTCTTGCTGATCTCATACTTACTCACATGAAAAAATTCAAACATAAATTAATGTATTAAGTTATATTTCATCCTATGTCCCTTCTCCTGATTTACCTGAGTAGGTTAAAAGACCAATAAGGAAGGAAGCTATCAATTTTATATACCAAAGTCATTCTGCCAGGAAAGACAGCAAAATCACTAACATGAATGACAGGATGAATTTTTCTGGTTACCTAGAGGAGCTCCCCCCACAACCGTTTACCCCATATCTATGGAAAATACTGATTTTTCACTTTCAGCCAGTATTATGGTAAATGTTTTTATTATTAGTTTTATATACAGGTGATTTCTGATGCATAATTTGATTAGAGCTAGAGATGATCATTTCTTCTAGAAAAACAAATCTCTGGGGTTAGAATGGAAGACAATGAAACAAGAGATCTCACCTTATTATTTATCTTTATCAAATTAATCTGGAACATATGAGTTATACTTTGACATTATATAATAATTTATTAATAGAAACCATAGAAGTCAAAAACCTTATATCCTCCAATCTCCCAATCAACTTTTCTTAGATTTTTGAGACATAAAAATAAAAATCATTTCAAATAACAGCACCCAAACACTATATACATTTGTAATGAGGTGCAGCAATTTTAAACCTCATATTTTCCAGGTTTTAGCTAAAATAACCCTTACAGGTTTCTTAGATTTCTGTTAGCCCTGTTTTGGGGCTACTTTTCCTTACTGGGCATAAAGAGAAGACAGTATTAAAATATGCTAACAATCCATACTGAGAACACAGCACAGGTGGGTTTCTAACTCCTTAGGGACGCGTGGAAACCTGACAGCTTCTGAGAACCCTGGTGGGTGCCCCTAGTCATCCTGCCTCGGGCAGCTGCATACACTCATTTTTTCTCTGAGGTCGAAGTCTGTGGCTTGATCTTCCTAGCAGCTTCCAAAACAGAGAGTGGGTTTACTTTGTCTCCAAATTCTTTTTCTCGGTGCTCGAGAAGAATGCCCTAAAAGGAAGGAAATGAGAGGGATTGTCAGTCCTCAATCCGAAGCCTTCATTCACGACAGGGACACGGAGCCCGAGCTGTCTGTCGAGTCCTGTGCTTGGGCAGCGGAGAACACACAGGTGAATCAGGCCTGGCTCCTGCTCTGGAGAAGTTCAGTCTCTTGAGGAAGGTAGATCAGGGAAGGCCACATCTCAGCAGCACTTTGGTGCTGAGCACGAAATCAGCAGTGACTAAATATGATAAGGGCAACCAGGGAAGGCTTCACAGATGATAAAGCATGGGAGGTAGGCAGGATGGCTACAGGTAGAGATGCAGGTAAAAGAACATTCCAGGTAAAGAGAACAGAAGAAAGCTAACACAGAAAAGCCTGAAGGTTGGAAGTGGAGCTCTGAGGGCAGACTTTCTGGAAGGCACTGAATGACTATCTGAAAAGGAGACCCTCTTTCCTTTCGTCTTCCCAAGAAACTAGAGGCCTCTCACTTCTGATACAGTGACAAAAAATGCACTAGGACATAGGATACCCCAAAGTTACCCTAAAGTTTATGGAAAAAAAGATAATGTGTTTGAGATCAGCATCAAGGAATCCTTGTTAAAGAGTTCCTTGACCCTTTATATCTAGGAACTGAAATCAAGAAAAACAATCTGTAAATACGCTGTGTCATTATTAATAAAGTAAAAAAACAAGAAGTCCCACCACACAGTGGTGACTATAGGGAAGCACATCAGGAAATTTACATTTGCTTGCTGATAAAGCATAATGCAGACATTAAAAAAACATACATACATACATAATGACAAAGGAAAATGTTTATGATACACTGTTAAATGAAAAGAGAACATCTAGTTTAGTAAGATATCATTTTCTTAAAGAGCAAATAAAATAAAAGGCCACTCAACTTTGTTTCAACAACCTGTTATCTGTGGTGGCTGAGCTCATAGATGGCTCTCCCACCTTTCACTGTTCTGCTGTTTCCCAGTTTTCTACAGCGCACACATACTTCTTCTTTAAAGGAAGTACGATGAAAGATTATTATTACAAAAGGAATCCCCACTGAGTGGCGCCTGGCACAGTGGGACTGCAAATGCTCTACTTCTAACTGAGGTAAGTCCTGAAGTTCTGCCAGCCCAGTCAACCTTTCACCAGGGAGGATGAAGGCCGGGAGCCCCAGGGAATAACAACAAAGCCAAACACCACCCCTAGCAACACCTGGAATGCACCAGCAGTCCCCTGAGCACCAGATGAGTCACTGCCAGGCAAGAAAAGGCTGGCAGGTGTGCCAAGCCCTGCCCTGGAGCCCTGAGAAGGCAGAGACAGGAAGGGGGAAGGAACCTTACAGTGCCAGAGTCGGAAAAGGATGGGCAATCCTCTAGGGAAGTGGCCTGCCCTAGTGTGAGGGCATCTGGAAGGGGTCGCTGGGAGCCACCTCTGAGGACAGGCTATGTGCAGGGGCAGGGTCGGGTCTCTGGGGCCGGACAGATTTGAGTTCCTGGGTTTCATTTCTGTGTACCACTTACTAGCTGTGTCACTGGCTGAGTTATTTTGTATCTCAAGCCCCTTTTCCTTACATGTAGATGGGAATAAAAATACTCAACATCCCAGACTGGTTGTGAGGAAGACATGAGATTATTTACATGAGCACCTGGAACAAGGCAGGCACCCACTGGCAGCCATTATCACGTAGAGATTTTGATAGATTTACATCAAATTAGTAAATAGGTTTAAGTTAAATCAGATACCATTTTATGCTCAATTCTAATACAGTCAAGCAAGAGCAGTTACCAAGGTATAAAAGGAAGAGATAAGAAATAAAGCTCAAAATAGGATTTCTAGTCCCATTAACTTATTCCTCCTCAATTGGGAAAAGCATGCAATTAGCAACATTATAGCAAGATCCAACAATGCAGACCAACTTCCTCTTTCTACAGAAAGAAAACACTTTCTACATATGTTAATGCCATGCCTCAGGTGGGCAGAGGTGGGCCTAGATGTTAGGCCACCAGTCTCCAGGTTCTCCTCCCATGCCCTGCCTGCACTCACTTTGCCACGGCCCTGCCAGACATCCACCCCGCCTCTGCTGGCACTGACCTCCAGGGCGGGGGATCACCATGGCTCGAGGTTGCCCATGCTCCAACATGGAACACCTGCCTACCTGCCTCTTGGGTTCACAAGGCCTCATGTCTCCTTTCCACACCTTCCCTTAGGGTCCCCATGCTGTGGACCCTCATAACGAGAGCCTACAACAGGCTACCAGCAGAGGAGTCAGTTCCTCCCCTGGGGCAGTCCTGACACCCAGACCCCCACAGGGAAAAGCATGGTCTCCTCCCACACCTCTCGCCACCTCCCCTCATCAGGCGTTTGTATTCCTTCTTTCCTCTTCATTTTTCCCTATCATCATCCTTGATAGACTGGGGAACACTGCAAGTGAGGAAATGCATAAACAGAATTGAAAACTATGCTTTCACTCAAGCACAGAAAATGGAGCTTGAAGTCAAGAAAACCTGGGTTCAGGCCCCAGCAGTTCCTTGGTGCAGCTAATCATTGCCCCTCAGTCCCAAGTTCCTCCTCTGCAAAATGATCAGCTTAATGTATGATGTTACTGTGAGTCATGAATAGATTCAGGTGTGAGGTACCAGCAGCGAGCAGATGTGTGATAAACCACTGCCCTCCTACCCTTCCTCACATCTCCTAGATTTCTAGAAGGAAGGCAGGGAGGCCCCAAATAGGGACAGTCAACCCACCACCCAGTCCCTGGTCAGGGTCTATTGCTCACAGACACATATCCACAGACCAACAAGTAGAGAGTAAAAGTTTACCTGTTTTCCTGGTCCCACCACAAAAACTCCCCCGAGGATGAAGCCTTCACCTTCCAGGTTTCCAGAGAAGCCTCCATTCCAGGCTCGGAAGAAGTTGTACCACACCCCCAGACGGATGAATCCCATAAACATCATCTTCCGCCTTTGAGGACCATAGAACCTTTTCTATGAAGTGAGAAAGACGGATCCACGTGAGCAGCCTGGATGCCTGCCTCCCCCAGGGAGGAAAGGCTCCCAACAGGGCATTTGTTCTCAGGCAAAGACCTGAAGCCTGCAGGTTCATGTCCTCAACCCCTCCCAACACAGCCAGCTCCCACCCAGGACCACTCTCAACTGCCTGAGGAAACAGAGTCCTGCCAGGCACAGCTCCCGGCCTCAAGGCAGGCCCAACCTAAAGAGACAGACTGCAGCTCTCAACTCTGACTCTGACTTCTCACTAGGTCTTGCACCTGATGGGTGAACAGTGCTACATTCTGCAAAGGTGGGAGTAGAGGGGACAGAAATATGGCTACAATGGATTAAGGCATAGGTGGATTGTGCTAGGGCCCCTACCTTATGGTGGGGGAACTTGATGGAGTTTCAGCTATTTCCTACCCTCCCTAGTCACTCTGCAGGAAGGGCTTAAGTAATACAAATACTCCTTGATTTATGATATGTCTTGAGAAACACACTGCAGATTGAAAATATAAGTTGAAAATTCATTTAATACACTTAACCTACTGAACAACATAGCTTAGCCTCGACTAACTTAAAGGTGCTCAGAACACTTAGATTAGCCTACAGTTGGGCAAAATCATCTAACATAAAGCCTGTTTTATAATAAAGTGCTGAATATCTCATATAATTTACCAAATACTGTACTGAAAGTGAAAAACATGATGGTTGTATGGGTTCTTGAAGTACAGTTTCTACTGGATGCATATAGTTTTACCAAAACCAAAAAATTAAAACACTGTAAGTTGAAGTGTGTGATTGTGTTCTGCTCAGAGGGCTGGGAAAGGCCCTGCAAATTCAGGGCAGCTGAAAAGAACATGAGCCTCTGGCTCCAGGCCAGACACACCCTGGACCACTGCACTCTCCCCAGCCAAGCACAATCTCAAACAGTCTGTCTGGCTCACAGCACACATACCTTTTCATCCAGGAAGATTTCTCCTTTGAAATAAGGCTGGAAGTCCTTCACTTCAGTCCTAACGTGCTCCTTCACCACTGCATAGAGAGGGACGCCCAGCTCATCCAACTTGGGTTTCAGGGAGGACAGGTCTGCAGCCTCCTGCAGAAGACACGGAGGTTCAGGGACACAAACTCCTGTGCCTCCGCAGCCAACAAACCACCTCTCTTCCCTACAAGCTCACAGCATGGCTGGCATGGAGCACAGAGGAAGAGAGGCAACAAAACACCAGAAGCAACTCAGGCCTGCACAGGCCAGCCTGCACCTGTCCCAGCTGGGCACTAGGTCTCAGTACAGGGTATCAAGACCCCTCCTCAAACCAGGCTTCTTGTCTTCTCCATGATGAAAAGGAGAGCTAGGCTCCTGTTACAGGTCTCCTAACCATAGTGTGGGGAGCAGCCATAACACATCCTCCACTCCTGCCTAAGTCACTTCTCCCCTGCCTTGTCTCCCAGCCCCTCCCCAAACTAGCACAGGGCCTGGTGGACACACCCCCCTCAGGCCATGGGGATGGCTGCCTCCACACTGTCACTCACTCAGGTCCTCTCCCTTTCCTTCTCTCTCCAACTCAACCCTACCCTCTGGAAATGTATCCCTGTTTTAAAAAGATTTCCCTGGCTAGTCCAGCTTTGGAGTGAAGCCCTGTTTCTCAATGCATATTGTATCTTCCCTGCCTGGCGATATTTTTTTTGTACCAAGTCTGTATGCTACCACTAAGTTGAAGACTGTCATAAAAACCCTAAATGTGTCACATAGAAACTATGTCTTCCATTTCTTGGAACCCTTAGTGCCTAGCACATGGCTGGATATACAGTAGGTACTAAATACCAGGTGGAAAGATTTGAAGGCGGACAAGGCGGAGAACACAGCTGACCTGAGAGGTACAGACTCCCTGACCCTCTTGAACTGTGTGCTGGAAGTTTAAACTAAACTGTAGGAATCATGGTAAAGCTTCAACATCAAGAATCAATTCCATTCTCACATTTGGTATCTGAATTAAAAGTCAGCAGGAAATCCTTTTAAATCAGTCCATTCACCTCCAATACAAATATACTGCTGTATGGTGGTGGCTAAATTTAAGTTTTCATTTATTTTCTAGAGTAATAAAAAAAGAATAGCTAATGAAGTTGAATTGATTATAATACATTTACCAAGAGCTACAGTGACTGGCAAATTTAGACCTAGAGCAGGAAGGACTATAGCATCTAATGTGATCAAATAATATCTGTGAGATACAAGATTGCATTCACCTTTCCTGGGCTCCTTACTCTGGGTATCACATGGTATAAAGCCAAGAAGTGGAAACTGAGTCACACACCTCTTCCCTGGCCTGGGGCACTCAAAATAACTCAGACTGTCACCCACACATCCTTTTTGAAATATAAGTTTCCAAAATATGTTGTGTCAGGGCACAGACCAGTGCAGAGGAAACAGGTTATTATTAATAAGGGAGAGCTGTTGTGCTTGGAACCTTCTGGGTTTCACCAGCCTCAAGAAATCAAGTCAAAACAGGCTTTCTTGCTTGTATTTATAGGTATCACAGATTTGGAATCAAAAGCCCTGAGTGTAAACTCCACCTTCTGTGGTAGGCAGAATAATAAACCTCTAAAGATGTCCACATTCTCATTCCTGGAACCTGTGACTATGTTACGTTACATGGCAAGGGGGAATTAAGGCTGAGATGAAATTGAGTTTGCTAATCAGCTGACATTAAACTAAGGAGATTATCCTAGATTATCTGGGTGGGCCCAATGTAATCACAGGGGTCCTCAAATGTGGATGAGGCAGGCAGCAAAGTCAGTGTCATGGCAATGCAACAGGAGAAAGACTTGACCAGCCATTTATGACTTTAAAAACAGAGGAAGGGGCCATGGGTCAAGGAATACTGGTGGCCTCTAGAAACTGGAAAAGGCAAATAAATGGACTCTACCTATGGCCTTCAGAAGGCAGACAACCAGATTCCACTCCGGAACTCTGACCTACAGAACTGTAAGATAAACCTGTGTTGTCTAAAGCCACTGAGTTTGTGGCAATTTATTATAGCAGCAATGGGCAGTTAATATACTCCCCAGGCAATGTGGCTTTGTTACAATCTCTGTATCTGTTTCCTCCTCTGTAAAATAAGAATACTAATGAGCTGTATTTTCGATATGGTGAGGAACCATGAGATAACAGGCCTAAAAGTGCCCTGGAGATAAGGGACTATAGGGCATCACATGCATCTAGTGGCCTAAGTGGATTCTTCTCCAGCCCAACCACACAAGCACAGGTGAGGTCAGCAAGGCTGAAAGGAAATGCCTAGGGGTCAGGGAGAGCAACCAGAGGAATGAGGATGACAACTGGACAGGGCGGCCATGGCCACTACTTGAGAAGCAAAGTTGTCTCAAGAGGAGGAGTACTGTCATTCTCAGTTTGTCCTAGGAAAGGCAGTGATCTCAGAACCTGGTGTCTGCCAACAACTGGCTGTGTGACCATGTGGCCACCAAACCACTCTGGTCCTTGGTTTACCCATCTGTAAAGTGACAAGGCTGGACCAAAGTATTTGCAATGTCCCCTCTAACACTAGCATTTTGTGTTTTAATAATAAGATAGTTCCTGCCTTCCCTTGATAAGCTTCCTCACTCATTGATGGCTTCCCTTTGGGGACCAACTTGGAGATCACCCAGTGGGTGAGCTTCAACTTTCACAAAACTCGCATGCCAAATGCACCCACACTATCAGCATGGCTGAAATCATGCTGAGCTACAGATCCAATGCTGAGAGCACACAGCGAGGAGGCAGAGCTACCATGTTTGAGAGTGTGGCCCTAAACTGTCCATGATGGACTCTAGGGGGATCCCCAGGCAGAGGGAGCCAAGCAGGTGTGTTCTAATGTGTGACCCTGAAGCGCTTCCCCATCACAGGGATGAACTGACCGTGCCCAAATCGATAGTAATCCAGACACCTTATTTTAATAAGCATATGTTGGTGCCGATCATCAGGAATATGGACTTGGACCTGGTCACTACCCTTGATTAAATGATAGTCCAGCATAGGGTGAAAGGCTTGGGAGCACCCAAGGAAAGTCAGGTGTGTTGCTAGCACCTGTAGAAGATGGTGAGTTGTTAAAACACAGACACAGGGCATAACCCCAAAGAAATACCTAGCAAAAATAACCAAAACCAAACCAGAGTTGATAAAAGGCTAAGCTGGCCTACAGGCCCTTGGTCCTGGCTGGAAATGCACTAGCCCCTACTTGCCAGGATCCTTTTCTCTGAACGGATCTTCAAATACACTCACCTCTCGACAGAGGAAACAGCCTGGCCTCCGCACAGCCATGATCACAGCTCCATTCTTTTCCCACAGCTCCTTTGCTTTGAAAGTCCTTGGTTCTGAGGGAGAAGAAAAGGAATTCAATATCTCCCCCTAGCCCAGCTGAGCCCAGCCCAGCCGAGCCCTGATCACTAAGCAGCTCTTGTGAACCACACTCAGCCACGATGAGGTGTGGGACCAGGTCTAGCTGAGGACCTGCACAGGCATTTCACATGTGGGAAAGACAAACAGGAAACAGAGACAAGGAATATTCACCTTTCTGAGGAAAAAGAATAAGAGTTAAGAATCCTACTGTATACTCAAAAGGGTCCTCCTCCATAAAAATTTATTTTCAAACTTGAACACTGGCTATTTCCATTATTGCTGATCTCATGGGATACTGTAATAATCCTTTGGGACATAAACGTGGCTCAAACGGATAAAGTCTTACACTTTGACCCCACCCCAAGATTCCACTCTTAAAAACATAAAGAAAATAAGTCAACAGTGCTTTAGGGTAGTACAGTACCACAGTTGAAGCCAGGCTGGAGGGTCAGACTTAAGGTTGAATCTAGCTGCGTGACCCCAGGCAAGCTATCTTTCCTCTTTGAACCTCAGCTTCCTCATTTGTAAAATGCAAATATCTACTAGTTCCACTTTGGGCTGTAGGGAGTATTACAAGATAAATAAAAAGTACTTACCACAGTGTCTGGTAATGAGTTACTGAGGGCTCAATAAGCATAAACCCTTATTATTGTATTTTATTTATTCTTTAGAGATAGGGTGTCGCTCTAGTGCCCAGGCCAGGGTGCAGTAGCGTGATCACAGTCCACTGCAGCCTTGAACTCTCAGGCTCAACCATCCTCCTGCCTCAACCTCCCAAGAAGCTGGGACTACATGCACGCACTATCACGTCCTGCTAATTTTTAAAATGTTTATGTAGAGATGGGGTCTGGCTATATTGCCCAGGCTGGTCTTGAACTCCTGGGCTCAAGGGATCCTTCTGCCTCACCTCTTAAAGTGCTGGGATTACAGGCATGAGCCACCATGCCTGGTACTGTATCATTTTAGTATTTCCCAGACGGATGCATGTCCCTGTGGAATGCTATGTGAAAAAAAGTGGAGTAGGGGGGAAGTCTGTAATCAAATGAGATTGGGAAACCCTGGGACCAACAAAGCATTATTGGTCTCTTCTGCAGAACTTTAGTTATTCATTAAGGTGACCTACCACAAATCTGCACGATCACAGCTCCAGCATTCCTTTGACAAGCTTCCTCACTTAATGGACAGATAATGACAGCCTCCATCTGGGGGCTGACCAAGAGACCGCCCAGTCAATGAGACCCAGGTTCACCAGTCAAACTCTCCTGCCCCACTATAAGGACTGAAATCCCACGAGCTACAGCTCTAACACAGAGCACGCAGTGAGGAGGCGTTTGAGTGTGTGGCTCTCAGCTGTTCATGATGGACTTTAGGGGAGTACCCTGAGAAAAGGGAGCCAGGCAGGTCTGTTCTAACATGTGACCTTCAGGTACGTCCTCATATGCTGCAGCTTCATCACAGGGAGGGGATGGCCATACTTGGATCAGGAGCAATCCAGACACCTCATTCTAACAAGCAAGGCCCTTCTGCGTGCCAGGCCCTGTGCTGGGCATCAGGAGATGGAACTGGATAAACAGTGTCTCTCATGCTTATCTGACTCAGGAACTCCTTTTCTTGTGAAGATCCCACAAGCCTGGAATTTCTGAGTACACTCTAGAAGGGCTGGTTTAGTAAATAATGGCACTAAATATTATCATTATTATTATCATATCATAATATTATCATATTATTATTATTATCAACTATAATGATAAGTGCAATTTATCATTATAGATAGAGAGACACTAATAGCGAGTGAAAAATGCTTTTGATAAGAGAGCCTAAAATGTAAAAGATCTTAGACCAAGCACTTATACCAAGATCACAACTATATAATAATATGTACACATGGAAAGGAATATGCCACAATAAAAATGATTACTGTGTTAGGGTAATAGGATCATTGGTGGTTTAAAAAGTGTTTTTGTGGCTGGGTGCAGTGGCTGATGCTTGTAATCCTAGCACTCTGGGAGGCCAAGTCAGGAGGATTACTTGAGCTCAGGAGTTTGAGATAAGCCTAAGCAAGAGACTTCGTCTCTACTAAAAATAGAAAAATTAGCCAGGCACTGTGCCTATGGTGCCTGTAGTCCTGGCTACTCAGGAGGCTGAGGCAGAAGGATCGCTTGAGCCCAGGAGTTTGAGGTTGCAGTGAGCTACAATAAATGCTACTGCACTCTACCCAGGGCGACAGAGTGAGACTGTCTCAAAAAAAAGTGTTAGTTTTTTCTAATGTTGTTACATTGCATTTTCAATTTCAAAAGTGTTATTTTAGAAAGAAAAAAATAAGCAAGCCTGTATCCCAGTGCCTCAGAAAAGTACTGAAATTGGTGGGGTCACCACTTACCCTTCTCTAATGTTTTCAGGTCTATATCCTCCAGATACTCCAGTGCTGCTTTCTGTGGCTTGGACAGAAACACATCTGTGTTGGCCAGGAGCAGTGCCAGGGCAGCAGCCCCCAGGGCTCCTGCACCAATGGACCACATCCCCATGGTGAAGAAACTTGGATCCTGGAGGAAAGACATTTCTGGAGATTGAGAGGAAGGAAGAAGACATTACTGCTCCCACAGGATAGCTAGGATCTGATCTCCCATACAAGGCTATGGAGGGGCTGCCAACCAGGAGGCCAGGAGACAGGCAGCAGCTGGATCAGAGATGAGACTGGGCATGGGCTGCTAAGCACCCACTGCTACCAGAGCTTGGGGATACAACAGACACAGGGAGGTTCCTGCTCCAAGGAGCTCACCAGGGAGTAAGGAATGATGACAGAGAAAGGACAACTTTCTCAGGTGTTTCTCTTGCTGTCCCCTCTCCTCATGCCACAGGTTGTGGCCCCCAGCTCTGTGGTGCTCTACCACTGTGTCCCCTGGAAGCAGACTGTTTCCTCATTCTCCTCCTCATCAATGCCTGACTCGCCTTCACAATCCAGGTGGCTCAGCCATCTCACCCTGGGTAGGAGAAGCTTTCTGTTCTGTGATAAGAGGAGAAGTAGAACACTAATCACACTGTTTGTCACCTGTCTTTGTTCCCCTTTAGTTTGAGAATCTTTTTAGATACAGAGACCATATGCTACTCATCAAACCCCCAGCCAGTGCCCCGCAGGGCTGCATTCATGGTAGGGGCAGGCAGTCTCAGCACATTTCTCCTGATTGAGAATAGCTTTATTTTTTACTCATTACAGAAATAAAACAAAAATAAATAAAATAAAACAAAAAATAAAAATAAAACAAAAAGGCAATACATAAAACAATAGTCAAGAAGAAAGCAAATATCCTTTCAAGCTACTATTTATTGATTGATGGTCACTGCTAAACACCAGTAGGTAATCTGACATTTTCTCCCCTGTGAAGAGAACTACACAGATGTCTGCCAAATGAATGGGAGTAGAGACAGGAGGAACAAGGTGCTGCAGTGTCTGCTTCAGAGGGGGCTGGGCAAAGGATGTCTGCATGAGGTAAGGATCTCTGCAATTGAAATGGAGTTCCAGGCAGGTCCTGTCCCAATCCAGCCTTGTTCTCAGCTCTTGCCTGGATGACTAAGAATCCCTCTAGTGGGTAGAAGCTCCTGGAAGCAGCAGTATGTCACCCAGCCTTCCTTCTGATAACCACCTACAATACCTATCCTTCCATTTGGCTGTCACTCCATCCTAGCATCTGATATATACTGGTGCCTTCCTCATTAAGTACCACACTGCTTGTGTGTGCTTAGATCACCGTCAGAGACAGGCCTGGGGGAGTGTGTGCGTATGTGTGTATGTGCTACCTAATCTCAGCCCATCTAACCTCTGACTTAATTCTCCCCTGCAGGACTTAGCCAGGAGAGTATTCCTCCAAAGAATTAAGAAAGGCTTGGAAATCTGAATGTCACTGCCAAGGGAGGGGGCTGTGAGGCACCCACTACACTCAGGTAGGGGTGGATGACTCAGCAGTGATGTCATTGTAAAGAAAAGGGTAGGGCAGACTAATGATTAGGCTGCCTGGGAAATTCAGATTTGAGTTAAGAAATAGAAGAGAACTTCCAGGCAAGGGGGTGACCAAATGAAACAGCATTTAAGAAAGAGGAATTGGACACCTACATATTTAGGAAGGGGAAAAAGAAGGGGAGGTCAGAGAAAGAAAGAGAGAGAGAGAGAGAGAGAATGAATGAATGAATGTATGTATGTTGGGGGGGGTGGAGGTGCTGCTATGGTATCTCTGATGTGAAGGACTCCAGCGAGGAGAGAAAAGTTTTTCATTACCCACTGCTCAGTAGTCCGTGGACTGGCAGCATTGGCACCGTGCAGAAATATGGAATCTCAGGCCCTACCTCAGAACTAAGGAATTTTAAACTGCATTTTAGCGTAAGACTGGCAGGCAATTCATAAGCACATTAAAATCTGAGAAGCATTGTCTTAGAGCAAAGAATTCAGCACTTTGTGCTCGTTTGGCCATAAGCCACAGAACAAAGTACAGTCATGTGGGCAGGCTGGCCTTGGAGAGCTGGGCCCTCATCAAGCCCAGCTTCCATCCTCTAGCCTGCTGTGGGAAGGCAGAGAGACAGGCACAGGGAGAGTCAAACACGCATCTCCACCCTTCTGCCTGGAGTATCCTGCCTCATTCTGTGCTTCACAACTCAGATGCCTCAAGAAGGCTCCCCAGATGCTCTGCCCACCCACAACTCCTGAAAGGTGTTCACTCTTTCCATCCTGGGTCCTGTGCCCAAAACACACCCACGATCCTTCTGATCTGGACCTGTCACATCTCTCTCCTTTGACTTTGTTCCCCAGTTGATCTCTGACTCTCCTGTGCTTAGCACAGTGCACATTTGGTACGCAGTGGGCTCACCACAAATGTATGCTGAAATGAATTTAACAGAATTGGATGATGACGGTGACTTACATACAACAAAATTCTTGGGCCAAGCAGGATAAAACTTCTACAGGCCTGCTTCCAATTCTTTTACGTGGCAAAGTTACACATTACCAGATTATAGTTCACAGAACAATTAGGAGGAAAACCACAGCTCTCACCTGATTGCTGTAAACAGGAGATTCCCTAGAGTCTGGAACAATTTCTGTACCTTTCGGTAAGCCTAAAACGTCCCTGGGTTTCTGACGTGTGTATGATTCAGGATTCACATGGACTGGTCTCTCTGACCACAGATTTGATAGGCATTTCTTCATCAATATGCAAAAGTCAGCTTATATCTACCCTATACAAGGACTCTCTTTGACTCCTGGGACATATCAGCACACCCAGGAAGTCCATGGTTCCTTACAGCCAGCTCCACACCCTTCCAACACATCCCTGCTGCACTTAGATACAGACAAGCTCCATCTCCCCACTACCCATCGACAGGTATTTGCCCTGTTTGCTCCTGAGTACAAGATAATTCAACTCAACTAGACTCAACATTTATTTCCCTATATTTATTCAGCACTGATTTACTTGATAAATGGCAATTTGGGGGGACATAAAATGATACACAATCCTAAAGGAGATAGAGGTCTGGTACACAAACAACAGAAAAGCAAGTGGGAAGGTGAGCAGCTTGGGAAAGGTATGAACATGAGGCTATGGCAGCAAAAGGATGAGAGTCAGTCTGGGTAGCCCCAGGAGCACCCAGGAAGAAGGAGCCAGCGTAGAACACAGGAGGTAGGATGGACGGGCTAGGCTGGGACAGGGCTGACTGTGCCTGGGAAGCAACAGGGACTGGGAGTGGATGTCAGTGTCGAAGGCACCCTGAGAGCTCAAACTTACATGTCCCAAAGCCCTCCATGTCCCCACCTCAAGTTCAAGGGCTGGGACATAAAATCTAGACCTAAACTCCCCCAGGTACGCTGTTTTCCACCCCAACCTCTACCCCCACCCTGGGCTGTGATCCAGAAGGTGTGAGCAGAGAATCACTCCTTTGGGGAGGTGCTCCCAGTGGGCCTCTAGCAGCTGGCTCTTCTGCCAGAGAGCAGCAGTGAAAATTCACTTCTGGGAGCACCTAGAGAGCACACAGGTCCAGCCCCTCAGCCAACCTCCCCAAGCCACAAAGCAACTTGTAGCTTGGCACATCTTGGAGCAGGTACCACCGTAACTTGCTGCACAGTATGAGCAGACCCCAAATCCTGAATCACATTTATTCCCACCCCCCAAAAAGATCAAGTAAAGGGAGCTTTAATATAGAAATAGAACAATACATTTTCCCATGGGCCTCTAAGACCACTCACTGGTAAGCAGGCCAGTAAACCAGATTTACTTAGTGCCATTTGACATACATGGTCTAATTTCATTCACTCAACAGGCTTGTGACACAGTGATCACCCCGTTTGGCAGCTGACAACACTGAGGTTCAGAGAAGTTCAGTAACTTCCCCAAGATCACAGAGCCAGCAGGCAGCAGTACTACAACCTGCACCCAGGTCAACAGGAACAGGACTCAAGCTTGTAATCTTTCTACTCTCACACTGTGCCTTCCCACACATTCAGAAGTGGGTTTCAAGTGGTATGATTTCCTTTGTCTTAAAGAGAATTAAAAAAAAATCACTTTAAGTCATCAAACACATGTACAGTCAAACCATGTTTACTCTAAAGGAAATTTACCATACACCAGATGTCCCTTCTCTTTTCTCCCCTTTCTATCTCCTTCCGTCCAGGAATGGGTCAGCTCCTCTGACAGAGAACAGCAAGGTTGTTTATAGAAGAGCCAGCCCCCACCTGACACGGCCACAGTATTCAGTCCCCCACTGTGGGACTTATCTGATCCATCCTGTCCCACAGAAGGTGAAGCAGGATAAGGCCACAAACAACAGCTGTGGCAGCTCAGAGTGGCAGCTCGGGTCTGGGCAGAGCACAGGGGTCGGGGGTGGGGAATGGGGAGACCCAGTGGGACTCCCCAGGCCAAGCTGAGTCAGTTTCATCCCAGGCCCCATGAGAGGGTTGGATGGAGGGTGTGCTAAGGTTCCTAAAGCCCCCCAGAGACACCCTATCATTTTGACAAAAACAGCTCACTTCGGAGTCAGAACATTCTTGGTTCCTCATCATAACTGCTGCTCCTCTTTGCCCATTTTAGTGTCCAGCTTTGAGACCCTGTCTCTTTTCTACACAAGGCAATTCCCCTCACCACATGGTCCCTTATCCCTAACCTTAGGCAGTTTAAACTGCAAACCAGCAAACAAGACACTCACCATCCGCAGCGTCCACACGCCGCTGCTGCTGAGAGGCTGAGCCAGGGGTGAGCAGGCAGAGCCCGGTGGCAGGGGAGGGCTGAAGGCGGGGCTCTTGAGTCCCGCCTATACCCCTAAGCTCAGTCACTCCATAGGCAGGACCAGGCCACCCAGAAACCCTGCGGCTCCTTCACCTGCCAACAGTTAATCTCCAGAAAACACTGCCAAGGCCCCTCAGCCCTTCAAACAGTTGAGCAAAGTTTCAAGTCATTTGCAGTCATGCAGATTATAACATTTTCCAAGTGCCAAAAAACTCCATCCCTCTCTGCTATCCGGTGCAGACTAACGAAGCGAAGCCCTTAACACGGCCCACATGTCCCACAAGGGGAAGTCAATGGAAGATGTTCCTTTCTCTGTGGCTCCTTGCCCCATTCCTCATCCCAGCCCACAAAATCAGGCAGCACCACTGGTGACACCTGCTGCCTATTCTTTACCTCCTTTTGCTTCCCCCTTTTTTTCCCTGCCACTTAAATGGCTTCTCTCAACCCACATTCCCATCCTGGGTCACCTTACCTACTACCAGCACCTCACCCATCACCTTAGTATTGACTTCCAAGTCCCTATTGCTGTTCCTGGCCCAAAGTTCCCACAGGGATTTTGTAGGTATCACTGTTGCACTGTACCCAAAATGTTTTGACCTCAACCAAAGTCAATTTCTCTTCTAGGGTTCTAGTCTAGCTTAGTGGATGACACAAACATCCAACCAACTGCTCAAGCCAGAAACTGGAAGTCACATTTTACTCTTCTTTCACTTTCACTGCCACACCTAGTCAATCAGGAGGTTCTGTCCACCCATAAAATGTGTCTTCTACTCATCCTCTTCTCAACTTCACTGTTACTGTCCAAGCCCAGGCCCCTATTTTGTACCTAGATTACTTCAATAACTACTGAACTAAATGTGGCTTGGCTCTGGTCTCGTCTTCTATATTTTATTCTCCATGCTGTAGCCAGAGGGATCCTAACACACTCAGGCCTCACCACACCCCTCCTTTGCCTTCAGACTCTAACAGTAAAGTCCTAAGCACAGCTGACAGGGCCCTCTACAGTTGAGCTTCAGCCCACCGTTCCGGCCTCATGCCATGCCACTGCCACAGCCTGGCCAGACTGTGCAAGGGCAGTCTCACACTGTTTCCTTTACCCAGAATGCTCTCCCCACCCATGCCAACTAGGTAAATGCCTACCTATTAATAAGGCCCAGCACAAATAACACTTCCTCCTGAAGCCTTTCCTGAAAGCTCCAAGAATTGACTGCTCCCTCATCCCCAATTACATAGCACACATGCGACACACACATAACAAGCTGCACAAATGGACTTTGTGTATTTTAGTTACTTACACATCTGTCTCCATAATATGGTGGCACAATCTGAGGACAGGAGCTGCTGTCTTATTCATTCCTGCATCCCCAGCACTTAATACAGATCCTGGTAACCGGCAGGTATTAAATATTAATGAAATGATCTGAATTTTACTCTTCACACTCCACAGTGAGGCAGAGTTGGAACTAACTTATAGCCACGCAATTTCACTTCAGTATGCAAGGTAATTTTGGACAGGGCTAGCTTGACATCAAAGAAAACACTCAAGCTGGGGGCTTAGGTGACCTTAGGTTGGGTCCTGGCTCCACTGCTCACTGGCAGGACAATCTGACACAAGGTGTGAAGACATTCTGGGCCTGGGTCTTCCCATCTGCATAGATAGAAGGAACTAGAAATTCTGTTAGGTTGTCCCAGCTCTGACATCACACCCAAAGACTCTAAAGTACTATGTGATTGCAACCACATGCACAAAGCAAGCCATGGGGTGCCTGCCACTGCTGCTCTCCTGCTGGGTGTGCACATTCTCACTGCCTCCTTCCCTGGCTTAGCTCCTGCCTGTTCAAAGAGTTGCCTCTTGCAAGAATTGATAAAGTCTTAAAAAAACAAAGTATCAGCACTGGGTGGGTTAATTCATGTCTGAAGCAAGTAGAGACAGCATCATATTCTAAACATCAAAGGTACATCTGCCTAGCACAGCCCCACCCAGGGAATTCTCCCTCCTCAGAATGAGCTGGCCTGAGGCAGAGACGGGAGAGGGAAGGGTTCTTAGGGAGACCAAAAAATAAAAAAAAGTGCACGTGGTCCTCCTTGCCTCAGGCCCTTAGTGAACTAGGATGGAAAGGATGCTTCATCTTCCTTCTCTGCTCTCCTCATTCCCACTCCGCTCTCCTCATTCCCTCTCCTCTCAAAGCTCTAGTTCAGCCCCTTCTTTATTGAGTAAATGAGGAAACTAAAGCTGAGACAAGGGGCTGGCTAGTCCAAGGTCTTAAGGGCAGGGTGGGTTGTCAGTGACTATGCTGGGACTTCTCAGGTCTGGGTCTCCCCACTGCCAGTCCATGATTGTTTTTCCTGCATTGTACACTCCAGCCCCGGGCCCCAGGCAGCCAGCCACAGGCCAGTGGCCTCTGAGGCTAGACAGCGTGGGGGTTGGAGCTCAGGAAGGGGGACCCTGCAGGTCCAGAAACCTGCTTATTGGCCTCAAGCAAGCTGAGAGCAAGACTGCTCCTCAACAGGGCCTTGGAAGTCTGGTGCCTGGAGAGAACATCAGCCTTTCCGAAGCCCAATCCTTAGCAAGCAGCTTATAAACCAAAGCTAAATGTTTTCGTAAGGGTCACATTGCCCATTCTCAGCTGAGAAGTCACTCTGCACCTCTCCTCTCCACAGTAACAAGGATCTATCATTTCCTGTCTAACAAACTGATGACACAGGCACTTGGGGCCCCATGAGCAATAGGAGATGCCCTCCCACCTACCTTTGCCTTCGAGTACCCTGGCACTACTAGTAGCTAGTTGCCATGAGCTCTCACCTACTTGCCTCACTCTCCAACTCTCAGCTCAGACCCTTAGGGTAACTGTTGTCCTGGCTCTGGCCCAGCCCTACTCTCAGATGCCAGATTCAGAAAGTTTTGAACAGATGCTAAAGGCAGAACAAGAAGACACAATCAGCGACTGGTGAGAAACGTGGGGGCTGAAAGAAGTCTTGTCCTTTGATAAGTGAAGCTGGAGCTGGAGCGACCCCAAAAGATCTAGCCATTCTACCCTCATTTGCCAGCCTCCTGTCTGGACTCAGGACAAATGCTTCATCAAGGAAGGCAGGCAAGGGTGATACCAAAAAAGACACTGAGCTGAAAAATAAGAATCCTGAGTTCTCACTCTGACTTTGAGAGGTCACCTTGTCCTTCTGGACCTCAGTGTCTTCTTAAAAACAAGGGCACTTTGAAAAGTTGTCATAAAGAATATAAGGGAAGAGGTATGCGGAATGCAGCAACACACTGGAGAATTGTAAGGCAGCATTATCTTTCTCTTTTTTGCAGAGCTCGACTCACTCATCCTCCTATGAAGACAGGACATCTGAAGCAGCAGACACAAAACAGTGATGTACAGCTGGGTCAATGCAGGCCTGCCTCCTGGGTAGGAGCTCTGGGTTCGGCGGGAACCCTGGCTTGTCTCAGCTGCTCTGGCCTATCTGGCCATTCCACAACACACACTCTGCTGCTACCCCTGCAGCAGCCAACACTACCTTCTGCACTAGCAGAACCAGAGAAGGCAAAGGGCACTGCTCCGTTGTTATATCCCTGTGCCAGAGGTCACTAAGCTCAGAAGTGAGGCTGGCCCCCTCCACAGCACCTCTGGAGAGTTCTTGCCACACAAGCCTCTGCAGACAAAGACTTGGAGCCTCTGCTCAACATTTCACAAAGAGGCAAGAACCCAGCTGGCAGGAGAGCTGCTTTATTTCTGAGATATTGACAGAGCCTGGGGCTTGAGCCCTACAATTCTGGTTCTAACCAAACTTTCTGAGTGCCATTTAAATGACACAGCCAAGGAGACAATCTTCAGAAATATCTTTTGTATCTCTCTTCAAGAACAATGCATAAGGTCTCAATTAGATGGCATGCCCTTATAAAGGAGGGGGATATGAGAAAGCTCAGACCAAGAGAATAACTAAGATCTAACTCTAATTCCTAAGAGTTGTGTGAATCTGAACGAGGCATTGTCTTGCACCAGCAAAATGGGAATAATTCCTGAATTATCTTCTGGAGAGTTGTAAGAATCAAAGGATTAAATGTACAGCAGGTGTTTGTAAAGCTACCTTACAAAGAGTGCCATAAATACAATGCATAAATCTTACTTCAGTTTTAGATTAGTCCATGATCACTCCAAAACGAGATTCGTACACAAATTGGAGAGCTGTCTGATGAATAAGTATCTTCTAAGGGGTCAGGGCTTGCAGTCTGAATCCCACAGCCTCCACAGCGGGGCCAAAGCAGGAGCATCCAGGATTATACAAGCTGGCTCCCTGACAATGCTTTTCAAAATAACTTCTAAGAAATTATTTTCTTTTTAAAAATCATCTGCCAGGCTCAAAGGAAAATACACTAAAATAAAAACAAAAACCCAAAACTTAAGTTGAGGTTCAGGCAGTTGGGCTGTGGAAACAGCATGGTGTGATAAGGAAAAGAGGCAGAGAACTAGCTAAACCTGAGCCCCAGTCGGGTGTGTGTCCTCCCCGCAGCCCTGGCCAGGCGGGGTCTTACTCCCCTTCCCTTGCCTCTGGCCCCGGCCGCTGCAATAACCCTGAAGATAAACTGTTCGATTAGTGCCTCGTTTATCTTTCCATTCCCAGATCTCAGAACAGTGTTTTGAAATTCACACTTGGACTCTTCCCAATTTCAAGTCAGGAAGAGGAGAACAGGTGCCTCTGAGATCACTCTGAACAAAGCTAGAAACCGTGCCCTCATAAAACTCACGACTCCTTGCACAGAGAGGAGGGCGGCCGGGCCCTCACCTCGAGCTGGTCCCGGACAGCCCCCAGACCCACCCCGGCCACGGCAGATTCCTGAGCCCTTTTCTCAGTTCCTCGTCCTAACAATTCAGGCAGGTCGGTGCCGCCAGTCTCACTCAAAGCCTGGGGACGGGGAAGAACCGGTCACACTGGCGCCCAGTTCGGACCTCGGGTCTTCTGACCCCGAGCGCGGGTTTTTTCCACTGGCCGCGGAGGCCGGGGCGGGCGAGGGGCGCCGCAGGCCGGGAGGGGCACTGTCCTCTGAGGGGGACCGGGGCCGCGCTGGGCCGTCTCCGAAGGAGCTCCACGGCGGGCTGCACTGGCCCGAGGGGCGGCCCTCAAGAATCCGGCGCCTACTCTCCCTGCGCACCGCCGGGTTGGCCCTGCCTCAGTTTCCTCACCCGCGACGCGGCAGACCCCCGCCGACGCGCGCGTCACGCGCCTCGCAGGGCCCAGCGTGCAGCACCTACCCGGAATGCGCCTTGCCGCCTGCCTTCTCAGGCGCCCGATTATGGGACGCAGAGGGGCGAAACCCTCCCCGGCCCCGAGGGTCCCAGGGGCGGGCCCTGCGCCTGCGCAGCTTCACGCCTGCGCTACTTCGCGCGCCGCCGCGCCTCCCACGTGACCCGCCCCTCCCCCTTTGAGCGAGGCGCGCCGGCCCCGCCCCCGTCCCGCTGCCTGGGCGACGGTGTCTGCAGCGCGGACGCCTCTGCACTCCGCGGCCCGCGGGTGAGTCCTGGTCCGGTCCCTGGTTAGCGCAGCGCAGCGCTGCTTTGGTCACTCCTCCGAGAGGTGAGGAATGTAGGCCCCAGACAGGTTCTTTAGGGCGCTGCCTGGGGCAAAGGGAAGCTCTGCGCTGCGCTAACGCGATCTAGGAGCACCTGTCCTGCAGCTGAGGCCCGTCACCTTCCAGTACTCAGCGTGTTTTCGAATAGTTTTTCTAATGGCCCTTTTTATTTTTGCATAGGAAGGGGACTCTTCAGGACCGAAGCATTCTGATGAGCGCCCTTTGTAAGCTTTATGTACAAATTCAGAACCGCCAGGCTTCACCCTCACCCCCGCTTTCCCTTTCTCTCTGCAAGGTTGGCCATCAGCCAGACAGTGGGAGAGAGGGCCTGCTTCTGGGGTGTTGCCTGCTCCTCTCAGACTCTGAGCATCACTTTGGCTAGTTTGTCACCCATCCATCCATTAATTCATTCATTTATTCATATAATAAATGCCCACGCTGTTTTATAAATGATCACTTAAAAGATCAGTAAACAATGGGAAGACTAGTCACAGGGCAGCTTGCGAAGAGGTAGCAAAGCAGGCTGAGGTGCCCACTGCCCAGAGGTGGACATTTGCCTGCAGTGCCTTCACCCCCTTCACCTGGGAACTGCCTACTGGTGTACAAAGTCCAAAGGCTTCTCTGATTCACCTCTCTTTCCCTGACTTCCCTCTCAGACTCCACGTTCTATGTAAACTTACACCAACACGTGGTCCCATAAAATCTATTTAAGGGGGTCTCTCCTTAACTGACCTGTGAGTTCCTTTGCTTCACCTCTGGTAGCCCAGAGCCTGGGAGCCCAGGATCAACACGAAGATGAATTTGGGAACTGTTGTGAAAGAGAGTGTGGATCCACATTGAGGGTAAAGAGGGATCAGCCTGAATGATCATGCAGTTTTCTTGCATGAGTAGGCATCTGATTTGAGGGCCAGAAAATATTTAGTATATGTTTGGTACATTGTGAGTGTAGAGTGTAGTAAAAAAAAAAAAGTAATTTTCCCCCCAGAGGACCTTTCTCAGATCTGCCTCATTTCTCCCTACCTTCTGAAGAGGAGGGGGAAAAGGGTCACTCTTTCTATCCTGAAATCGGAGGTTTGGTCAAAGTTGAGTAAGGTTTGCAGGGAAGGTCACTTCGAATAAATTGGGAAGCCATTTCCTTGGGACATGGGCTCCCAGAGATTGACCATTAATGGCAAAGACATTGGGGTTGGGGATAGCAGAATTATGGAGTGGGAGGTGCCCTGAGGCTTTAGCTGTGATATAATTATTAATCAAATGCAAAAGTCATGATGATATTTACACTTTTGTGACATCCGAAAACTCTAAACTTCAAAAACCAGACTAGATCTGATAGCTCATTAATATGTTCCTCACAGTCCCAAGTTTCTTTTTGTACAAGAAGGCACAAGCTGAACTCATTAAAAATAGTCATGAGACCAGAAAAAGAAGTTGTGGGCAAGTAGGCACAGGAAAGCTTATTTACAAAGCTCAAGGATTAAAAAAAAAAGGCAAAAACAACCAAAACAAAAAAAAGAGAAAATAAATCCAAAAAACTCTACCAATCAGCCAAGTTTTAAGGAGAAAAATAATTCAAGTGTTGTAAAAATCATAGAATAGCCTTAGATTTTGAATTTAAAGAGATAGAGACTAAGGATGGCTAGAAGCTTTGTGACAACTTAGATAACCTAGGTATGATACCATCTCAACAGGGGTTAGGAAAGTTTTTCTGTCCCTCCCAAATCCTGTAAGGCAGGCAGAAAACATCATTAGCAGGAAGAAGATTTGGATAAAGACTTAAGATTTTTTCAGTGTCACAGCAAGATTCAGTCAGCCTCATCTGCTTACTCAGCAGTGATCCAAGCCAGGGGTAAAACATGATTTTTTAAGCTGATGGCCCTGAAGTGTCTAGGCTCGTTGGGAACAGTTCAGGAAGCAGCTAGCATTGAAGTGAAAGTAAAGCAAGAATTGGTGCTTGACTTCATTATCTCAGGCCCAGATTCCTATCCTGTGAATGCATAAATATCAAATCAAGATCAAAAATTGTATATGAACCACAAAAATAGATGTGCATAGGTCAGCTCCAAATATCCTCCATACTTGCCATGACCTCTGGATTCAGCTCTTTCTTACTTTTTGAAGCATAAAGTTGTTCTATTTCCACAGTGTGCCTCACAGCAAAGTCTGTAGGGACCTCTCTCAGAACCTTCAATAGATGTGGGCAATGACTTACCAGGTGAGCCAGTGGGTAACTGATGGCTGGATGGTGGGATGATTCTGCCCCCAGATGGGGAAAGCAGGACTGCCTCAAGTGTCCTCACTCATCGTTTGCACGATAAACTAACATGTAAGGAGCCTTTATTCAGTTAGGAAGCTTTGATTTGCAAGTAATGGAAAACTCAATTCAAATTGCCTTGAATTGATCCTGTGGTTCAATAAAGTCATTGACAATTCAGGTTCTTTTTCTTCTCTGTTATGCCTGTGTTGACTTCATGTTAAGGCTAGTCTTCTTGTGGTCATAGGATGGCTCCCAGGATTTAGCATGGAGAGGGGACAGTTAGATTAAGGAGTGAACAAAGCCCAGAGCCTCACTCTGATTGGCCTATCATTGTGGCCAGGGTACGCTGCACTTTGGTCTAAGTCTGGGTTAGTTCCCATCTTACATATCATTGTGTGCACACTTAAAAAGAAAAATAGAAGTGAAATGAACATGTTAAGGTATTCCTTAGATACCTTCACATTCAAAGTCCAACTCTTCTTGACCATTTTTAGGCTCAGGGTCACTGATTTCTGAATTTGTCACACAATATTATCCTTTGACCATAGGAAACACTGGTGCTATAGCATTTCTATTTTTTAATCTTTTTCTTGGAGACAGAATCTCACCCTGTTGCCCAGGCTAGAGTGCTGTGGCATCAGCCTAGCTCACAGCAAACTCAAACTCCTGGGCCCAAGCGATCCTCCTGCCTCAGCCTCCTGAGTAGCTGGGACTACAGGCATGCACCACCATGCCCGGCTACTTTTTTCTATATATTTTTAGTTATCTGACTGATTTCTTTCTATTTTTAGTAGAGACAGGGTCTCACTCTTGCTCAGGCTGTTCTCTAACTCTTGAGCTCAATCAGTCATCCCACCTCAGCCACCCAGAGTGCTAGTATTACAGGTGTGAGCCACCGTGCCTGGCCCAAATGACCTCTTTTCTATCTCTATAGTCTTGCTTTTTGTAGAGTTTCATATGAATGGAATCATACAGTATGTATGGCTTCTTTCACTTAGAATAATGCTTTTGAGATTCATTAATGCTGTTGTGTGCACAAGGACTTCATTCCTTTTTATTGCTGAGAAATATTCCATTGCGTAGATATGCCAAAAGGTGTTTATCCTTTCCCCAGAGTTGATGGATATAGTTGATATATTTGGATTGTGTCCTAGTTCATTTGTGTTGCTATAAAGGAATACTTGAAGCTGGGTAATTTATAAAGGTTTATTTGTCTCACGGTTCTGCAGGCTGTACAAGAAACAAGAAACAGCTGCTTCTGGTGAAGGCTTCAGGCTGCTTCTACTCACAGCAGAAGGAAAAGGTGGGTGGTGTATGGAGATCACATGGTGCGAGAGAAAGCAAAAAGGAGAGAAGCAAGGTGCCAGGCTCTTTTAAACAACCAGTTCTTGGGGGAACTCTCGTGGGAAATACTAGAGAAGAACTTATTCATTACCAAGAAGACAACACCAAGCCATTCATGAGGGGTCTGCCCCCATGACGCAAACACCTCCCAAGAGGCCCCAGCTCCAACACTGAGGACCAGATTTGAACATGAGACTTGGTTGGACCAAACAAACCATATCCAAACCATAGCAGCTCCCAGGTTTTGGTAGTTATGAATAAAGCTGCTGGGAACCTTTGCATATAACCTTTGTTTGGACATATGTTGTCATTTCTCTTGAGTGGTCCTGTAGTAAGTGTTTGTTTAACTTTGTAAGGCACTATCAAATGATAGTGATACAGCCAAAGGGGCTGTATCATTTTCATTCCCACCAGCAATACATGAGAGTTCCAGTTGCTCCATATCCTTGACAATGCTCAGTATTGTCGATCGTCCCTGGCATTTTGTCCACTGACAGCATGCTTGCCATTAGAGACGTGAAGCCATTGTCATTGCTTCAGTGCATATAGTCCAGTTTCTACAAAAATCTTGTAGCAGTCCAGGGACAGGTAGGGCTCAGGCCCTCCATTATGTTGGGTACCCCAATTCCATCTCTCCTGCTAGTCTTAGAAATCTCAATATCCCCATGTGCCTGGCTTGTTTCTCTTTCTCTGTGGGGATGTTCCAGTATAACTAACTCCCTTCAGCTGGCTGGAAACAGAAAACTTGCACTCATCATTCTCTATCCCCAAGAGCTTCACTCTCAGCTCACAGATTGCCTGTTCCTACAAAATAAGAAGGCACAGCCAAAACTGGGTGTGTCTCTATCCAACTTATGGTCTGTCTCTCTGACTATGTCCACGTCTGACCATGTGTAGATCTCTATCTACACCTGCTGACATTGTACATGTGTAGAAAATCTAGAAGGAAACACTGCAAATAGGTCTCACTGGTTACAATCTAGGGAAGGGGAGGTTCATTTTTCAATTTATAGACAGTGTGTTGTTGGCATTTTTTTAAAGTAAAGTAATTAAAAAGAAAATAGCTACAATATTAATAAATAAAAGTTCTCATAACCCACATCTTGGACACCCTGCACTGGAAGATCTCTACAGTTCTTCCTAGCTCTCCCTATCTCTCACTTAATTATTAATTACTATTTACAAATCATCTGCACTTTCATCGGGGCTGGAGCGGCGCTCAGAG